GATTTCCTACTTTGTGAAAATTTGGTGTAGCTTTCACAGGGGTGAAAGGCAGGTTGTCCATCAGACAGAAATTTCAGCTTATCTTTCCAGATGTCACTTCCAGGGCAAGATGTTTGTTATCAGCTGGGAGTGCTACTCTCATGGTGTGAAAGTAATTCACTACAAGACAGCTTGTCATATTAGCATTTTTTCATCAATTAACACAAAAGAGATAAGTTCTGGGGCAAGGTGCTCTGTTATTCCACCAGCTAAAAGCAACAGATAAGTTCCTCTGGGGCGAGATGCCCTGCTACACCCATCTGGACAGGGCGGGCAGGGCATACAAGATTGCTCTCACTGCCAGCCACCATGAGGATGCTGCAGACCACTGCTTAGCTGGGGAGCATGTCCCTCTCCCCAAAGAAGACTAAGGAACAGCTCTAAGCCACTGGCAGCTGTTTCTATGCAGGAGGCCAAGAGCTCCTTCTGCCTGGATCCAGCCCTGCATCCAACCTGACTGCTGGTCTCTGGTGGTTCTTCCTGGGGTGTGATGACACACTCTAGGTATTTTTGTTCCTGCACAGAAAACCTGACAGACTCCATCAAACTTCTGCAGAGTGGGCACTCTGGTTTCTTCTCTGCCCAGCACAGGATGCAGCCCATGCAGAACTCGTGGCCACAGGGTATCACATGAGTGACACCCTCTTGCTCATCATGACAAATGGGGCACTCTGCTGTCCCCATGGCTTTGTCTGTTCTCTGTGGCAATTCAGGGAGTACTGACAGGCTGCTCCCCATCACTGGCAGTACCACAGAATCTCACACACTGCAACAAAGCAGAGAAATCTTGCTCTCTTGCTGTCCCGAGGAGGACATGAAGAAATACCCAAGCCCCTGGAGAAGGATACTCTCCTGACTCCTCAAGCCCTAGTGCCCTTCTCACTACCACCCTGGAGAGACTCAGCCCTCCAGATCTTACAGGCATGCTTGACAGGCTGTGTCTTTTCTGAGAGCCTGGGAAGATGGTCTCTGGCAGCTGAAGATGTGTAGGGTTGAGACATCTGTCTGTCATAAACAGATAGTGGGAATTAAGTGATTCAATACCTTTGAGGTCCTGGATTTTTAATTAAATCTCAGGGCTGGAGGCTGGATTTTTCCTTTCTTTCTGTCTTCTTTGTTTTAAGTTCACTCTTGAATGAGGAAATATTATTAATTGTATGCAGTTTTTATAACGGGGAGGTTCTCTTCTTATAAAGTAAACACTGTGGACCAAAATCCAATATGGCCTTAGCAGGTGCTGGTCAAGCATCACTTGTGCGGGTGATCTCTAGTGAAGACTAGGTGAAGGCTTTGCTCCCTGCTGACAGGTCTTAGGGGCTCTGAGAACCTGTGCACCCTTGAGGACCAGAGCTGCATAAAATATTGTAGGAGACTTGAAGAGCACAATCACCTTAAACACCAATCACAGAATCACAGAATCAGCTAGGTTGAAAAAAAAACCTCTGAGATCATTGAGTCCAACCTATGACCAAAGATCACCTTGTCCACCAGACCACAGCACTAAGAGCCATGGCCAGTCTTTCCTTAAACACCTCCAGGGACAGTGACTCCACCACCTCCCTGGGAAGTCTATTCCAATGCCCAAAATCACCTTTTCTGTGAAGAATTTTTCCTAATGTCTAGCCTAAACCTCCCCAGTACAGCTTAAGACTTTGTCCTCTTCTATTGCTGGTTGCCTGGGGAAGAGACCAAAACCCACCTGGCTACACCCTCCTTTCAGGGAATGGTTGATAAGGTCACCCCTGAGCCTTCACTTCTCCAGGCTAAACAACCCCAGCTCCCTCAGCCACTCCTCATAGCCCCTGTGTCCCAGACAATTCACCATCCTTGTTGCCCTCCTCTGGACACGTTTCAGCATCTCAACGTCCTTCCCAAACTGAGGGGCCCAGAACTGGACACAGCACTCGAGGTGTGGCCTCACCAGTGCTGGGTACAGGGGGGAATCACTGTCCTGGTCCTGCTGGACACACTGTCCCTGATCCAGGCCAGGAGCCATTGGCCTTCTTGGCCCCCAGGGCACACTGCTGGCTCATGTTCAATCACCTCTTGACCAGCATCCCCAGGTCCCTTTCTGCCTGGCCACTGTCCAGCCACTCTGTCCCCAGCCTGTGGTGCTGCAGGGGCTTGTTGTGACTCAAGTCTAGGATCTGGCATTTGGACTTGTTAAACCTCATATTGTTGGATTCAGCCCACCTATCCAGCCTGTCCAGGCCCCTCTGCAGAGCCCCCCTACCCTCTAACAGATTAATACTCGCTCCCAGCTTGGTGTCATCTGCAATTTACTGATGGTGGGCTTGATCCACTCCCCCAGATCATCAGTGAAGATATTAAACAGGACTGGTCCCAGCACAGACCCCTGAGGGACACCACTGGTGACTGCCCCCCAAGTGGATGTGACACAATTCACCTCCCCTCTCTGGGTCTGGCCCTGCAGCCAGTTCCTAACCCAGCACAGAGTGCTCCTGTCCAAGCCGTGGGCTGCAGCTTTTCCAGGAGTGTCCTACAGGGAGATGGTGTCAAAGGCATTGCTGAAGGTCAGGCAGACAACATCCACAGCCTTCCCCTCATCCATCAGGTGGGTCACCTGGTTATGAAAGCAGATCAGGTTGTTCAGGCAGGACCTGCCCCTCCTAAATCCATGCTGGCTGGGTCTGAGCCCTCAACTGTCCTTTAGGTGCTGTGTCACCACACTCAAGATGATCTGTGCCATATCCTTACTATGCACCAAGGTCAGGCTGACAGTCCCGGAGTTTCCTGTGTGCTCCTTATGGTCCTTCTTACGGATGAACATCACATTGGCCAACCCAGTCATCTGGCACCTCCCTGGTTACTCGGGGCTGATGGTAAACAATGGAAAACATCTTGGCAAGGTTTTCTGCCATCTCCCTCATCAACCTAGGATGGATCCTGTGTGGTCTCATAGACTTGTGAGCATCTAAGTGGCTCAGCAGGTCACTAACTGCTCCCTCCTGGACGACAGGGGAGGCTATTCTGCTCCCTGTCCCCATCTACCAGCTCAGGAGGCCAGTTGTCCTGTGGACATCCTGTCTTGTTGTTGAAAACTGAAGCAAAGAAGATGTTAGGTACCTCAGCCTTTTCCTCATATTTGGTAACTATATTCCCCCCTTGTCCAACAAAGAGTGGAGGTTCTCCTTGGCCCTCTAAGATGTGTTAAGTTCACCAAAGGACTTTGCCCACCATGGCAAGCTCTCCAAAGAAGCAACTGCTCATCTGTGATGACTGAAGCTCCCTGTCCCTGAACATGCCTCTGTGAAACTTGGAAAGAGTTAACCCACTTGAGAGGAGTGTGAGTGAAGACTGTCTGGGTTTTATCTCAGACTAGTGGTAGGAAAAGAGATACTGGAAGAGAACTGATACTGGACAGAAAGAATCCACACAGAAAGCCAACCCAGAAATTTTACTGAAAATCAACTCTTGAGTGTAGCCAATGAGCATTAGTTCCTTTGTTTGCTAAAATGTATAAAGAGTGAAAAGTTTTGAACACCTTGGGAACCACATCAGCAAGAAGACCAGGGTGAAGAAAAATGCAACAGGATGCTTTCTGGATCCAAGTGTGTGATGCTTTTTACTTAAATTATCTCACTCTTTGTCTCATTCTGGCCCTCCTCTCTTTCCTGTTTCTGTCTATCTCTCTACTTCACGTTGACTGTTAAATAAAATCCATACTATTGGCTTTGGCACATGGTATTGTCAGCATCCTAATTCAGGTAGAGGCGTCTGTCAGTAATTGAATCATAACAGATGTGCTGACACTACAGACTGCTGCTGTGAGAGGGTGAGACTGATCCTTGGCCCAGGGATTGGCACTGGAGAAGGCACTTGTCTTCCCTGGAGTGTTTGTGCATTGGTGTTACATTCCACCCCTATGTGGAAGGGAGCAAACAAGATCTGTAGATGTTCACAGATGAAAAAGAATGGCAAAAACCAAAAGGGTACAAAAAAACCTCACCAATTTTTATTAACAAACTACACACTCAGCATGGCAATTGGTATGTGTTTTGCCACTATCTTCTAATAGTAAGAGGGAAAAAAAATAATAAAAGAATAGAGGGAAGAAGAAGGGAAAAAGAAATCAGGTAGGAGAGGAAAGAAGTTCATGATCCTGGGTCCAGCATTGATCCACCCAACAGGTGTCCAGGGTCCTGAGAGAAGGCCATCCAGTCCCTCTGGTACATTTTTATAGTTAAGTTTTCCCCATTCTCAGATTAGGTTACTCACTCTTCATAAAATGAGTTACCATGTGCAGCACAGAATTCTGGATCTTTCTGGAAATGGGTTGGGGGGCTTTGTGGGTTTTGGTGGTCTTGATTCTCCCTCCATTGGTCTTGCTTGGTCCTTGACCCCACTCCTGCACTTAAATTGTCCTTTATGTTGTGTGGTCACCATGGACTGGAACAGGAAATTCAGCTCCAGAATGGTGCAGCCTTACCTTCATCTGGCTCCCCTTTCCAGGCACATCCTGTTAAAACTTGCCTGCTTGATCGCTGTTGGTGTTTAGGGCATAGCAATGTGCTAACTCTTTACTGCCTAGGTTTCTACATTGGTCAAAAAACCCAGCTACCATCTGATAGGGAAAAAAAAATCATCCTTAGGGCAGAAAAGGGTTTCACATTCTTAATGACAGGGCAACATCTGCACCCGTTTTTCTCCTTTCTCTTGTTTTCCTAGTGTTGTGTTTCTTGCACATGTTGTTGTTGCAGACTTAAGGTGCCAGATGCTACTTTTCCACTGTAGATATATTAATATCTGTAGGAAGGCATTGATCTGTACAGAAGGGAGTGTGAAGCCAAATTCTTCCTGGATGAGGGTGAAGGGTTCCCTGAGTTAAAGGCTGCTTGGGAAATGATCAAGCCAGTAGGATTTTACAAAATATGGATGGAGAGTATTCTCAGAGCAGAAAATACAGGTCATTTTGGTTTTTTTTTTTTTTTTTTGCTCGCAATTTAAACTTTAATTCAGCTTAATGAAATTCAAATTAATGTAACACAGAAGGAAAGGGTTGTAGCCCATTATAGTGTGAACTGCAGGTGGTCCATTCTGCAGTTCAAAACATTTTTTCCTTTAGGTACCGCAAGATATCCTTCAGCAGATCAAAGAATTGCTGCAGCTTTTCATGTGGAAATGGACAGGGCTGTGTTGGTCTTGGAGTTACTGTCTGCGGGGGGGCTGCGGTGTAGGTTGGCAGTGGTGCTGGCGCTGGAGTAGCTGCTGGTGCTGGCTTTCTTCCCATCGTGCTCCAGATCCAGTTGTAGTAGTACTGAGTGGAGCTGGAGACTGCAGGCCGTTTAGGTCTGGCGCAGCCGACTCCCCAGCTGGTCACGCCAATTTGCCAGAAGAAGCCACCACGCCTATCTCGGCAGACAAGAGGTCCCCCGCTGTCACCCTGCAGTAGAACAGAGAGGATTAAGGTGCTTTTGCATGCCCCTGTCAGCAGTTAGTTGGCTCCTTTACTCTCCCAGCCCCTGCCAGAACGGGATTCCTGGCAGAGCAAGGCTCTGCTCAAGTGCTGGGACCTGCAGAACCTTGACACCCTTGGGAGAAGGTTGGGTGCCTGTAAGGTGAGACTCTCTGTCTCCCCTGTGTGTGGATGTTTCAGGATTGGCATCTGGACCTCACTGAGCAAGGACCCACAGATGGGAAAGGGGGTGGAAGCTCCAGCGGTGGTGCAGAGCTGGGGCTTCGAGAGCAATGGACCAGGGAAAGCAGGCGCTGGGCTGTGCTGGGGTGGTGTGCTGGGGCTGCCCACACTGGGACTCAAAGCACGCTCCTACCTGGCAGGTGCCAACACCTCCTTGCCCAGCACACACTTGGAAGTCGTGGATGTATCCCTGCAGCCACTCGCTGCTGTTGCAGAGCTGGTTATCCACGACTTGGACCTTGGCCTGCTGCAGGACATCTCTCCCTGATGCTGTGAGCAGGGAAAAAGGAATTAATTCCCAGCAACTCTGTGCCTGTCTGTGTGTTGAAGTCCTTCCCTAGGGCCTAGTTCTGTCTTTAGAGAGCTGTTGGATTGCTGTGTCACTGCTGTCTGCACTGGGCAGCAGCCCAGGCCCATCTCTCCAGAGGCATTTGTCCCACAAACCAACTCTCATTTTGGCCTCTGCTCTCAGGGAGCCCCAGCCTTCCCTCCCTTGTGTGCCAGCCTTGCCCTCAGGGCACAGGTCCTTTATGGGAACTTACATTTGACAATTCTGTCACCCCAGCCAGCAACGTAGCAGTTTGTCAGGTCCGACAGCGTCACCGAAGGACCAGGCAGGCAGGCAGTCTGGATGGAAGACCTGCACTGGACTGGACGGTCCAATTCCAGCAAGGCGATGTCGTGATACTCAAGTTCAGGAGTGTATTTTTCATGAAGGATCAGACGCTTAATCCGGCGCACTTCCACGTCAGGGCCTGACTGGCCCAAGGAGGTGGCCCCAAGCACGATGGCCCACTCGCTGAGAGGGCTGCAAGGTGGAGAGAGGGGTGAGAGGGGGTAGAATCATGTGCTGTGACACACCAGCACTTCCCTTCTGCTTCCTGAGACCAAGAGGAACACAGGACTACAGAGAGTGAAAGCAGACTCATGTTAAGCTGGAGGCTGCTAGGAAGCAGTGGCATGAGCCCACTCTTCTCCCCGAGTCTCTCAGCTAGGCCCTGCGCTGGCAAGGCACTAGGCACGCTGCGAGGAAACGGGATGGGAATTGCAAGCGCTGGTGGCACGGGGCTATCCCTGTGCCTAGGTGCCCCTTACTTGGTGCGGTTGATAAAGCAGTGTGCAGCCGTCAGGAGCCACTGAGCGCCGACGAGGGTCCCTCCGCAGACGTGCACAGACACCGGCGGGTTCCAGTAGCAGCGGACGCTGGCAATGCCCGCCCAGGCCCCCATCCCCGGCATGACGTCTGTGCCGCCCACAACGCGCGTTGAGCCCAGGGGAGCGATCATGGGCCGGAGCCCACAGGTCTGCCTGGAAGCAGAAAGTCATTTCTGTCCTGTGAGAAGGCTCCCACGAGGCTTCGGCGGCAAAGCCAGCAGGGAACTGCCCGGGGTGTGCCCACGTCAGCCTGCTTGAGCCCCGCGGACAAGTGGTGCCAGACACCTGGGTGCTGCTGATAAACTGAGGCTCCTGCCCAGGGTTTTGGAAACTGGTACGGCCACAGGTGGCAAGTGGGCATCCTCAGGGAACCCCCTAAGCCTTTCCTGGGTCCCCTCAGGTCAAGCCTGTGGCTACTTACCCACAGGTGCCATATGCAGGCCTGCAGAGAGCCAGAAGGATGAGGATGCACAGCAAAATCATTGTGGTCAGAGACACGAGTCAGCTGCAAGGAGAGAGAGCTTGTCACTCCAGTGCAGCTGCCAACGCAGTGCCCACAGAATCTGCACTGCCACAGTGCCCTTGGCCCTGGAGCTGATGTCACAGAGGGATGGTTCCATGTTCTGGGCACGGTGCTGACCACTGGAAGCTGGGGGGAAGGGCAACGTAGAACCACAGAAAGGTCTGGATTGGAAACTACCTTAAGGATTGAGTTTCAAACCCCAGCCATGCACATGGATGCCTTCCACTGCAAGGTTGCTCAGAGTCCCATCCAAGCTGGCCAATGGGGCATCCACAGCTTCTCTGTGCAGGCAACCTCTGCCAGGACTTTAACAATGATACAAGATTTTACTTGGCATCCAAAAATCCTACACAATTTGCAGCAACATTAAAAGCAACACACATTCTGATTTTTAAAAATAATTTGTGGAATTGTTTTCACTTGCTTTGCCTGAGACAGAAAAATCAACTGAACAAATGTAACTTAAGGCCTTAAGGGAAAAAAAAGTCTCAATGCCTAAGCTCTTTTGGTGTTGTTTAGAAACTAACTATGAAGAATTCTAATTAAAAGTCAATTTCTTTCAAGAAGCCAGAGCCACTTTCCAGTTGAACCTGTTTATTTAGTTGTTTCCACTGGACTGCTGAACAGCTTACCCCTATTTCGAGAGGTACAGCAGAGGCTGTGCATTGGGCTGCCATTTTAATTTACTGCCAATAAGGTCCTCTCTTTGATTACCAAATTCCATTTTCTTAGCTTTCTTTTGATGAAGTTCAGGGAGGACCAGTGAGATAGAAGGTTCCTGCCCAGATATCCAGAGTCCAGTTTCAAGTTCCCTGGTGTGCTGTACAGCACATAGACAGAAGGATCATGTGTCAAAAGTCTAAGACGCTGCATTTCCAGCCGCTGTCCCCAAGAGCTGGAAGCTCCTAGACCTGTGTTCCCTTATTCCATTACACCCTTGCCCTCCTCTCTGAGTGGGCAGTTCCAGCCCTTTGGAGGTGCCCTTTCCCTTTGGGCTTGACTTGCCTGCCCACAGCAGCATTTTGCAAATGCCAGCTCAGGGAGGCCTTGGCTCACATAGCAGAACGCACACATTTACAATCTTTGAAAACAGGCCACTTTATTTCTATAGCAGCTAAATCACCATCAGCCATTGTGCATATGTGGAGGAGGAGTGTGGGCAGGACAGAGTGGGCTGTGGCACTGAGGCTATCTTTGGATCAGGAGGAAAGGGTTGTGGTCCACTGCAGCCTGAACTGCATCCAGTCAATCCCTCCCTAGAATGCCCTAGGCTCCAGGCTGCCCGTCTTCCAGCTGCAGTTTGACTTGAGCATGAGATGAGGCTGGGTTTTTGTTTCTTTGGACTCAGTAAATCTGGTAATCCCCCTCCCCTGCCTTGGTTACAGGGGAAAAGAGAAACAAAAAATATTTCAGTTTGTTGCTGTGGTTCTTCGGCTTTTAAGGCAGAAATGCTTTTCATGCCATGCCAGCAGTGGTTTTTCAGGTGAAGTGGGCATGAGCTCATGGCCTTTGGCTTTTGCAAAAGGAAAAGGAGAAAAAAAGGAAAAAAATAGAGAAAAAGAGAAAAAATAAAAAAGGAGAAAAAAAGACAAAATACAAAAAAAAAAGAGGATAAAGGCTTTCCCTGGAAAGTGTGCTTGCACCAATGGAAGCCTGAATGTGGTGTAGCAGAATTTCGAAAGTTTCACCCTTGCAGGTTCTTGAGGGCCTTTGTTGTTGATGGCCACATCCCATGGCCAAGTGTTATCTAAAGCCTGCAAGTGTGTGCCCTTTGAACATCAAAAGTTGCTGTGGTCAAAACAACTGTTTTTTTGGTTTTGCTTTGTTTTTATATTTCCCCCAGTTTGGAAATTCTCCTTCTCCCCTGTTCCTTTTTTTTTCCCCTTAGGAACAGGGCAGGAATTTATTTTTGGTCTGACACTCTCAGGCGCTCCTTCTGTAATAAATACTTTCAGATCCCTACTGCATACAATATAGGTGATACTCTAGGCTGTTTTTTATGGGTGTGGGAGAAACTGTGAGTCTGTGATTTTGGAGAAGCCATGCTGGGGTCTGAAGATTATGGACTTGCACGGGCACAGAGGTGGGGGTGATGCCTGGGAGGACATAAGAGAGCTGCACACACCCAGCCCCAGCTTGTACCTTCCCCGTGCTGTACGGATGAAGAGGCAGCAACTAAGTGGGGAATGATGAGCAATGCTGTCAATATTCAGCATGAGATGTTGGAAGGGGGGGTGTCTCCTGAGATGCTGGTAGAAAGGTCTATTGCACAAAATCCCTTTTTCTGTTGCACAGTGTTACAGCATGTGCAGCAAAATGTGCTGTGACACTACATGAACAAACCCAGTTATTTCCACAGGCTTTTAAAAATATTACAGCTTTTAAACCAAGGGAAAAGCCTCCCCAGCTCTGGTGTGAGAGCCTTCACCACAGGGCTGGGTAGTTTCATTTCTCACAGAGGCTCTCCTAACTTGAAGAGGTCAGAAGAATGATGTGATGGCTGCAGGCATTGGTCTGTGATTTTCCTTTTTTGTTCTTCATTATCATGGGGCTGATTTGATCTTGTCACCTTGTGCCATGCAAATGTTTTTTAAAAACCTGCTGAGTCATGAACAAATCTGAGTTGTTCAGCCAAAGCTGAAATTTGAGAGGAGGTTTCATAATTTCAGGAACACTTGTTGCCAGCAGTAGTTGCAAAGCTGGTGCAAAATGAACTTTGAACAAAGGACAGGAGTGCACCGTTAAGGGATACAGTGGAAATTAAATAGAGAAAAGGTGGTATTTCCTCCTTGGCTGGATGCACTGATTTAACTGTGGTTTCTGCATCAGCTGGCTCCCCAATATCAAAAGCAGATGCCACTTTTTTACAGACCTCTGAATCATGTGCAATCCAGATACCACTGGTCAGGCACAGCCACTGTATATGTGGAAGCATTGCAAAGAGGAGGCCTTTGCTCTGACAGAGCAGGACTACTACTGCAACAATCCACATCCCTCACCAATCTCCTTGGGCCTATGTGGGCACTATGTGAGGTCTTCTGCAGGCAGGTTCATACGGTTAGTTGTTCTTCTGACCTTTTTCCATACATCTGTTTTAAATTTAGGGCAGTTTAAGTGTGTAATGTAGTAAACAAATCTTCCTGCCTATAAAAATGGAACTGTGGGGAAAGAAAGCAGTCTATCATTTTGCAGAGGTGAAGCAAATGTTTCTCCTCCATGGCTCTGGAGCCTGTACAGACCTCGGGGCAAGGGCCTTGCCCAATAATTATGGCTGAACTGGTGCACATCTTATGCCCATTTTGAATGTGAGCACAATAGCCACAGTAACAGGATGGAACTTTTTACTTCCATCCCCAGACACTCCTTTCCAGTGGGTACAGTTCGTCCTCAGGACCAAGCAGGATGAGCAGCACATCCCTCATGACTTGTTCTCTGAGCTGGATGAGAGCTATATGAGAGAGGCTGAAGATGCTGAGTGGAAAGAAATGGCAAGGTAAATCCCAGCTGTAATGGGAGAGAAGTGCCCACACTGGCAGTACCCTCGGGCTCTGCCTTCTCTCTGGAACACTTTCTGCAGCTGCAGATGCTGATGTGAGCAGCCTTCTCCTCTTGCCACCACAGAAATTTATCAATGGAGCTGGAGATCAGGAGCTGAAGAGGAGGTAAAAGACAGTATCAAGTGCAGGATGATGCCCTGTGTGGCCACTCTGTCCTTGCACAGCCTCTTGGATGAGGAGCTGCACCACCAATGAAAGGATGCTGCTGGACAATTGTACCAGCAGCATCAAAGAACTGAAGGTAATGTGGGAGTGTCATGGTTTGACACTGGCACAATGCCAGTGCCCCCATGAAAATGTGATCCCTCCCTTGAATGCTGTGAAGTGGAATCTAGAATAGAGCAAAGCAGGCCCAAGCTTAATA